GGGAAGGGAACTCACAGCTCCAGGTGGGAAAAGGATGGGGAATGGGAAGGGAAAAGGGGATGGGGAATGGAATGGGAGAACAGGGCTGCACTGCAATCAGTGGGACACATCCCAAAATAATCTGCTCTTGAGAACAGTGCTGGGCTGAACAAGGCACACAMAGCCTCCTCCCATCAGTCTCACAGATGCCAGGCTGAAATAATATCTTTTCCATCTAAAACTGTCGTTAATATGGATTTATTGAGTCCGTTTTTTCTGCAAGAAAATCAAGTGGTTCACAGACACCGCAGGATCACCGTTTGCTCAGAGCCTTGTCAGGAAATCCTCATATATTTAAGGCAAATATTTGAATTCACCGGAGCGTGAGCTGTCCCGCTAAGTCAACTCAGCGCAGCCTATTCTGCAAATTACAGACAGGTTTGTTTCTTTCACATTTCAATTCAGTACTGTGCATGCAATTTTCCCATCAATAAGTGTCTAAATATTTTATAATTGGCAGCGCTTGTCTTATTGGGCAAATAAAGCCCAGGCACAGAATTCTGCAGTCAAACAAGGTCATTATTAGGCCCATTAGCACAAATACTTTCTTTTTCACTGAAATAAGATGTTTCCATTTGTTGAAACAAATGGTGGGGGCTGGGATTTGCTTTGAAAGAGCACTGCAAACACTCAGAAAAATTCCTGTCCATAAATATCCCCACAAAGAACTTTCAGACGAGCTGCTCTGCTCAGTCCTGAAAGGTTAAAGCTTGAAAGATTCAAACACAGCCTTGTTTTCAAGTGGTTCAGTTAAAAACGCACATGAAGTGGGCAGAGGCATTGAGGAAGGAGAGGAAAGCAGATTTTTAAGGCCAGAGCTGCAGGTGAAGCTGGGAGAGCTCACTGAGCTGGCACCTCTCACCTCTCAGCTGTGCCATCACCTCTGAAAAACCAGAGAAATTCTGACTGAAAATTGCCCAAATCCTGAGAGACCTGGAGCTGTCCACAAGGGCTTGGGGTGACAGGACAAGGGGATGGCTTCAAACTGGAACAGAGCAGGGTTAGATGGGATTTGGGGAAGGAATTGGTCCCTGGGAGGGTGGGGAGGGGCTGGGATGGAATTCCCAGAGGAGCTGTGGCTGCCCCTGGAGTGCCCAAGGAGGGGTTGGAGAGGGTTTGAAGCACTCTGGGATGGTGGGAGATGTCCCTGCCATGGCAGGGGTGGCACTGGATGGGATTTAAAGTCCCTCCCAGCCCATCCCATGACCCCACAGCCCTTCCTGCAGCAAGGAATCCCAGCACAGCAGGAATTAACCCTGCCCGTGCAAGGCAGCTTTCCCTCAGCACCAGCACAAACACCTCCAAGGAAACTTTAGAAAAGAGAAAGAGATCTGAGGAAACATCAGAAATGAGAAATCTGGGTGGGAGACAGAGGCTGGCAGCTGTGAGAGCAGCCTGGGTGTGTGCAGAGCTGTTTGGGGTGTGGASAGGGCAGCTCTGAGGGTGCCAGTCCTTGGTGCCAGGCAGCAGTGGGAAGTGTGAAATGAGGAGCCTGCACTAATTGGGGCAAATTTCACCCTGATTCCACAAAAACTGAGTGTAACTCCTRTCTTCAGCCTTCAGCACCAAAGCACCTCTTCACCAACACTCTCCAAACGAGCCTGAG